CAACTTGAGTTCAAAAATGGTGAAAGGAGGCAATGGAACAGTAAACCACCCTCAGCCCACCAAGTGCCTCACGTAGGAAATTTTGATATGCCTAGGGTTATGTGCTAAAATGCATATATATAGCCACTTAGCCATAAAACACACAGTATTAACTTTAATTGCTACGCTTAGAATTTTAATCCCAAACTTTGGATTATGAAACTACATAATTTTCTAAAATTTATCATATTTTTCTTATAATTTTCTGAGCACTTTTCCGGTACGCGTTTTTCCAAGCCAGTACCGGTTTCCAGCACCAGTTCTCATTATCTGGACTTGAAACTCGTTTTACAAGTCCTACATATGATTCTAGTAATTATCATGCACTTACATTAATTTTCCGGGATACTTTTTCGGCACGCATTTATACCGACTAGCAGAACCGGTATCTGCACTTTTCTTCCGAAAAGCGACTTTCAGCATTCTTAATCACTTATTATGATTATTAAGCCTCATAAATAATTATTAGAGTCAATTATGGAATCATTTCCTATTTTCTCGTAATTTATTAATTAAATACCTTAATTAACGGTGCGGGTTCTTACACTCTCGGGGCTTTAAGTTTTATAATCCCACTACAAGATCCTTTTTGGAGACGAGAAATGCCAGATTCCTTGAAGATGTTGAGTTTGGGGGGGAAGATAAAATAAGGACGGTTGTCTTTGATGAGGAAGAAAATAATATTTCTCTTCCTAATATTGTCATCATTCAAGATGCAATTACGGAACAAGCAATTAATGATCAGGTCCCTGTTCATGACATTGTTATGGAACAGGCTTTGGTCCCTGACATTGTTTTGGGTCAAGACAATAATGAATCACCCCCTATGCCACCTATATAACAAACTCAACAAACTCAAGAAGTGCCATTAAGGAGATCCACTAGGGAAAGGAGAAATGCAATTCTGGATGATTATATTGTGTTTCTTCAAGAGCATGAAAATATTTTAAGCTTGAAGGAAGATGATCCAATCAACTTCCAACAAGTCTTAGAAACCTCTAATGCTCATAAATGGATTGATGCCATGAAAGATGAGATGCAATCTATGAAAGACAACGACGTTTGGGATCTTATTGAGTTGCCTAAAGGTGCGAAACCCATTGGTTGTAAATGGATATTTAAAACCAAAAGGGATTCAAATGGCAACATCGAAAGATATAAGGCACGTCTAGTTGCTAGAGGTTTCACTCAGAAAGAAGGCATAGACTATAAAGAGATTTTCTCTCCGATTTCTATGAAGGACTCCTTTAAGACAATAATGGCGCTTGTGGCTCATTTGGATTTGGAGCTACATCAGATGGACGTAAAGACAGCGTTTCTCAATGGCAACATTGATGAGACAATTTATATGGTGCAACCAGAAAACTTTGTATTGGGAGATTCAAAGTCTATGGTTTGCAAATTGAAAAAGTCCATCTATGGCCTTAAGCAAGCTTCTCGTCAATGGTACCACAAATTCCATCAGGTTATTATCTCTTATGGCTTTGAGGTGAACTTAGTGGAAGATTGTGTGTATCACAAGTTCAGTGGGAGTAAATTCATATTCCTGATACTATATGTTGATGATATCTTACTTGCCAGTAGCGATATAGGCTTATTGCATGAAACCAAGAAACTTCTCACTAAAGATTTTGAGATGAAGGACCTTGGTGATGCATCTTTTGTCTTGGGAATACAGATACTTCGAGATCGCGCTCAATGTATCCTACGGTTATCACAAAAGGCCTACATTGAAAAGATTTTGGATAGATTTGGCATGAAGGATTGTACGTCACGAGATACGCCCATATCTAGGGGAGATAAGTTTAGTCTCGCCCAATGCCCTAAAGGTAAGCTTGAGATGATAGAAATGACAAAGGTACCTTATGCTTCGGCAGTAGGAAGCCTTATGTATGCCCAGGTTTGTACTCGCCCTGATATAGCATTTATAGTGGGAGTGTTAGAAAGATACTTGAGCAATCCAGGAATGGATCATTGGAAAGCAGCCAAGAGGGTTATGCGGTTTTTAAAGAGAACTAAAGATTATATGCTTACATATCGAAGGTCAGATGAATTAGAGATCGTTGGATATACTGACTCTGATTTTGCTGGATGCCAAGATAGTAAAAGATCCACGTCAGGTTATGTCTACATGTTGGCTGGAGGAGCTATTTCTTGGAAGAGTGTTAAACAGACACTCATAGCTTCCTCTACTATGGCCGCTGAATTTGTAGCTTGTTTTGAGGCATCCAACCATGGGGTATGCTGCGAAACTTTGTCACATGGCTGCATATAGTGAGTGGTGTTGAAATGCCTCTGAAGATTTATTGTGGCAACAGGTCAGCAGTGTTGTACTCCAACAACAACAAAAGCTCTTCAAAATCGAAGCACATCGATATAAAGTTTCTGGTTGTTAAAGAAAGAGTTCAGAGTGGTCAGATTTCCATAGAACACATAGGGACGAACTCCATGCTTGCGGATCCGCTTACTAAAGGCTTAGTGCCTAAGGTCTTTCACGAGCATACTGCTCATATGGGTGTTGTTTTGTTCGATGGCACTACGGTTTAGTGGGAGTTCTTTATGTTGGTGTTCTATGTAAAGAAATAAATGAAATATTCTTATGTTTATTTTCTGCAGAATAAAGAATTCAATGATATTTTCCCTCTGAATGTATTATATTTTGTGCTTGTGTTTCTGCTTTGTGTATGCAGAAAATTTAGGATTGATCTCATAAAAATTAAAGTAGGACCAGTTGGAAATAGGCATGGTAAGATCACATTGCATGTAATTTCCATGCCACTCATCCATACTTGATCTATGTCATTGAATATATTGGTGCGATGACCATGAAAGGTTTAGTTACGCTTTAAAGTGACAAAAGCCGCCATGATCTCATACTGATATAGGAGGTGGACCAGATTGTATCTAAGGAGGAATCTAAAGAAAAATAGCATACAGTTGCGCACTAAAGATATACGATATAATTATCTCAAGTTAATATGTGGCCCAAGTGGAAGATTGTTAGGAAATTATATTTTCTAATATTTATTGTGGGTCACATATTATATTAATAATTATATTGTGCTATTTATATATATTGGGTAAATTAAAGTGATCAGTTAAATATTCCCAAATAGATTCCTAACTGAGTATGGGCTGAATGAGTGGATACCGGTGTTGGGCCAACTAGGTATAATGGGAGCTTATTGGGCCAACAATAAAGATAAAAACACTATAAAGGGTTATGGTCCCAATACGTCAAAAAAAACAACCCTAGTTTCTCTTCCCCATCAAGAGAGAGATGGCACACTAAGGAATTCGGTTTTAGGGTGATTTGACTGAGGAAGACTACAAACCCCAAGAGACAAGATCAAAGTTATTCCGCTGCAATGGAGACAGGTATGCCTCCACCTTTATGCTCTTATTTCTTTATGATTTGGTATGATGGAGCTTGGTTTGTAGGTGATAGTTATCACCAAAAGGTTTAGAGGAATTTAAAAATTCCAACATTCTTTTCCTTTCCCTTATCTTTTTTTATTATCGCCGCTATATCTCTAGTCTTGGTGTTATTTGCATTGCTTTGAAATTGTTTTTGGGCTGGGAAAGATTCAAATTCTAATTTATCATGTTTTGAATCATGTTTGGAAAAATGTGAGATTACTAAAATTAAAAATTAAAACACCTATATATCTCCCTCATATCAACATATGTCATCATCCTCTTGGGAAATAGATCCTCATCTCAAACTCGGATTAAGTTCACCTCGGTTGTGAGATGCTTAAGAAAATATGGTATAATGTAAATATAATGGTAATTTTGTTAGGCTCATTGATGGCATGTAGCTCTTGATCGGGTTGTTACATTTTTGAATCATTGGATAATCTTTTCTAAGAGATTACTTATTGGGCTACGTGGACCTGGGTCGGGTACCGAGGTCTATAACGCTTGTACTCTTCCTCACTTCTTGAGTCTATGTTGTTTCACTAATATGCATCTTGTTTCTATATCAATTCTTAAGAAACATTATTCAAACCAAGTTGTTACTATACTTTCGTCTAAAATAATATATCAAATTACAAGAAAAAATATTTATCATTTTAAAAGACATAACTTTGTGTCATCTGAAGTGAAATGATCATATTTTTGTGCATATTTGATTTTTTTTGTTTACATTCTTTCTCTTTCACAAAATTAGGAGGAGAGAGAAAAAGAGAGTATCATGGAGGATATAAAAGGTAAATAATAAGCAAAATATCATCGTTTCATTTAAAAATGAAAAACATTTTTTCCTTTTATTAAATATTCAATCTATTATCATTTATATATATAACACTACAGCAAAAACGTATTTTAGCAGCGGCTTTTTTAATCTTAGCGGCGGTTTGAATCGCCGCAAAATTTTTTAATGGCCTTTTTAAAACTGATGTAGAAATTGGCGTCGTTGAATATTTCAGCGTCGGTTTCACACAACCGCCGGAATAACCGGCGTTAAAAATAAAACCGACGTTATATGTACATAACCGACGTTGAAATAAAATATTTTAATAAAATTTAATAATTTTAGCGGCGATTCTGAAATGCAGTTTTTTTGTGCGATTACTTGCTGCTTTTTTTTTTTTTGTATTTGCTATTACTGCTTTTTTTTAAATAATTATTTACTGCTGTTTTATCTTATAATTATTTTTATATCATTTAAAAAAAACATTATTGATTGATCGAACATTTAAACTTCTGAATCTATTGTCATTAAATTTATACATAATTAAATGTAATCCAAGATAAATACAAATAGTGTAACAAATGTAAAATGTCTCACCATTAAAAATTAATAGATCCAAATACATGATAAAACAAAGTAAATATACTTTGCAAATTTAACATAAATGGAATCAAAATATCAATAATACTACAAATGTTTAAACCTGAGTAATCTTGCAAATTAAACCTAAATGGAATCAAAGTGCCAATAAAACTACAAAAGTTTAACATAAAATTTCATCAATGCACAAGAGAATGAGATCCAAGTTCTCCAGTGCTTCCTTGTTTTCATTGTCACCCCCGGTAACAAAAAAGTGAAGATCTTGGACAAACTTGTAAACAACAATGTTACTCTCAAACATTGCTATCTCCGCTGTCAAATGAAAAAACCCATAAACACAATAAAAGTGACATCAATATATTTGCAAAACAAGGACATATACTGAGTAGCGATTAGCAATCTATTCCAATCATAGGCAGATATCAACCAAACGTGAAGGTGATTCTTGATCATGAATTATGTTAAATTTGTACTATTCGTCAGCCAGTCATCGGAGAAATATTTGACCGCCACTCGTTTCCCATCAGAATCCAGAAGAAGGATGTTCTTTACAGAAGGGCATGACTCCTAACAAAAAGCACAAAGTACAGGATCAGAACTTTCCTTAAAAGTAAATAGTTGAGACTGGTTCCGGTTCTAAAATGAAAAACAGTGATTAATTTAAAATTAATTGTCAATTCGTGCAAGGAATCAGAACAACAGCTAAGTAATCAAACCATAACAGCCGGGTCAACCATTTAATTAATTTAAAATTCTTCAAAAAATGTCACATAATGCAGCACAGACAAGTTAACTAAAATTCCAAAACTAAACACATAGATATCAAACATATGCCTATACGGCTATACCAAACTAAAATTCTTCATGCATTTTTACAGTCTTTTAAGAGAAAAACATGCAAAGACAAGAAGAAAGAGAAGAAATTTTTTGGTCTTTGATCAAGCAGAATAATACTCTCCAAAGTCTAATATCCAATAGGAAAACTCAAATCAGCCCCAGCTTCTAAAACTTGTGCCTCTTGTTGAATGACACTCTCCAAAACAAAGTCAAAAGATGTTAATTGATGCGTTTTGAGTTCAATACTTTTTGCAGTGCATCTTGTGAGATTTGTAAACCAGGAAACAAGGCACGTCTTTCAACACCATTAAACCAATCCTTATCAAAACCAAATCTGCGCACGTCTTGTAATAACTCCATGAACTCAGAGCGGCTTGACCCTAACACATCATTAGGACTATGGGTTTGGAGGAATCTCAGTAGATGACTCAGGCGGTTGTAGGCACAACCCTTCAACCAATTGCTAAGTGCTTTGTCATTTAAACGAACAGAAGGATTCTTCACAAGAAAATCAATCAACAGTGACAGGTTGTCAGGATCCAAATGCTTGTTGGAAACTAGTTGTTCAAGTTCCCTTTTGACAAGAGAAGCAAAATTTAAATCCTCCATGATTTGAGAAGAGTTCCCTGTAATTGAAGGAAAGAGTAATTTAAACATCTTGTGCACGAACAAATATTCAGGATTCTGCACTAATTTAAAACAAGAGAGGGGTGATTAAGAATTTGAAAAACTATTTAAAAGCAACAGTCCACCAAATTTTAAGCCACCTTGTGCAAAACAATATACTCCAGCTCCACCCACACATATTCCAGCATCACCAGTGCTTTACTCATCATCATCATCCTTCGATAGAATAAAAACAAAGAATGCAAATTAAAACAAATTATATCAGGTTCAATTTAGACGCACTTAAAAAAGTACAAAATATATGCAAAAAATTAATACCATCTCAATTGGTCGTTGCTCTTCCCATGTTTCTTCAAACTTGTGCTGTGTACTCTCAGACCACGCCCTGTAATGAACTACCACCATATACCATCTAGGTCACATTCATGATTTGGAACTGCCAAGAAAAACAAAAAGGCTATCATAAGATGAGTAAAGGAGTAGATATTAGGAACTAATGCCTGATATAATTTTTCCCTTCCCTGCTTTTGTCCTCATGTAGCCTCAATCAAGAAGTTTTTCTTATGGTAAAACAACACTAGATGCCCAAAGACCAAACATTTTACATTTTCATACCAAAACATTTCCATATATTAGCTTAAATTATAGCTTAAGTTGCTATACCTAGCTAGACACATGAAGGTCATTCCAGGGAAAAATAGAAAAAAAGAAAAATCTGATATCACATGATATGACAGTACTTTAGCATATGCATATGGATGAGTTCAAATAATCTTAGATAAACACAATTGCAAGTTGAATGTATAATGACATGAAATGTAGTGACAACATTGTATTTCACACTAACTGCAAACATAAATAGAGTCAAACTATGATTAAATGTGGTACTCACAGAAGCAAGTTGAATATCTGGTAGGTTTCTGGCCATGGCCTTCCTTAATTATTTGTTTAGTGACCTTCTCGTGAAGGACTTCAACTTGAGAATCAACTTTTGGAGGGTTACTAAATTCTTGTGTTGGCTCCCCTTTAACAAATGCAGAGTTTTCAGTAATCACTTCATTCTCATCTTCTTGACCTGCAACCATTAACAGTGCCAAAAAAAAAATAGTTTTTTCATGCATGCAAATTACCAAGTAGTGATTCGGTTTGAGGCTCTTGAACTTCCTCCATTCTGCAAAATTATTATTTCGTTCAAAACTTTAAAGAGAGAGGGAAAAAAACTACTTACTAAATTCTATAAATTTTCTCGGGAACCAAACAGTATGAGAGAGAAAAATTCCCTTTGCAGGGTCTGTCAAAACCAACTCAGCTCCAAAAGCTAATAGAATGATTCTTCTTTCGAGACTCATTGAAGCAGGCATTGTAATTATGAGCTTGTAACCCTCGGCTGCTGCCATGAAGGCTAATCCAATGCCAGTATTACCACTTGTTGGTTCAATAAGGACACTCTTCAGTAAAATAAGAAACTTACATTCAGAAAATGTAATAATTTTCATCTCTGACATGAGCTAAATTAATACCCAAAATTTATTCATTCATTCAGATCTAAAATAACTGCTATACGAGTAGCATAAATTTATAAAGAGCATGGGTACTAATGCAGAATTTGAAAGAGTATTTGAAGCCCTTGAGCCTCCCCCAAATCTCAAGAGGTTTGGGATAAAGGGATATAAGGGAATGCAGTTGCCAAGTTGGATGAGAAATACCTCATTTCTCAAAGGTTTAGTTGATATAATACTCTACGAATGCAAAAATTGTCAAGGGCTTCCTCCACTTGGTAAATTCCCTCATTTAAAAACTCTTTACATATCTTGGCTAACCTGTTCATCCTACACATAAATGGTAAATGAAGAACTGTCCCACTAAAGCATGTATCAAAAAGGGCATGAAGTTTGGCACCACGAGGAAGATGCCTAAGGTCGAATAAAAAAGGCATGTATCAAGAACTATTTGCAGTAATCAAGTCCTACAAGTAATAAAAGTATTAATGTATAAAGAAGCATGCCACTATACTATTAATGTATCAAAGCAAAAAGACTAGAAAATTGACTTAGGTGTCGGATGTCTCGCCCTGGACAGGTGGATCCTATGCTCCCAATCACTTCCCTATAAAAAAAATTATAAAGAAAAAAGATAAATATAATGGAAGTGTCATTTAGATATACTTTTAAAATATCTCCTTGATATTAAAAGTATTTCTTTTAGTACATAAACAAGTGACTTACATGGTAGCTTCTTTCCATGTAAGTTACCTCGAATGGTTAATGTATTATTACTCTAATTAAATCTGCTGATCCAGCACACACAAAAAATACATTAGACATTGGACCATGGAGCACTTGTAGCACAGTAGTAGCAGCAGCTCCAATATCCTAAGCTCTGATGGATGCTTATTTTGGTAGTTATATGCTATCCAAGGGTTATAACCATGGATAGCTTTTATGAAGAATTTTGCACGTATTCCCGAATTCAAATCATTCAGCAAAGTCATAGCAGAATACCTATCTTAATTCAAAGGAACTAGAAAGGAAGAAGCAAATGATGATAGTTTTAACAAAATCAATCAGATTGACGTAACAAAGCTTCAATTAAGCAAACTAAGAATGTCAATTTGAAGAAGAAGAAGAAGAGTGGTTTACCAAACGAGTCAATGTGCTCTCTCAAACAAGAATTTGTTCCTTGCCAACGTCAAGATGCTCTCTGATTCCTCTGTTATTCTCTCCCAAAACCCTAAATATATGTTTCCCTTTCAACTCAATTGCGTGATAGTGTGCCCTTTTGTTGTACATAAAGATGTTTGGGTTATGAAGCTGAGGTATGGATGATATTTGAATCGGCTAAGACAAACAGAGCCTCAACAAAAAATGAAAGAAAAATGGAAAAATCGGATAACAGGCACCAAGAAAGAAAAATGAACATCGTTCCAAGGAATATTGAGAGGTAGAGAGAATGGCTTGCGATAATAAATGTCTCTAACCAGAATATGGGGTACTGTTGTTCGCTAGACTTGGAGTCGGTTTTTTAAACGGCCACTGAGACACCGCCACTGTATCCCGGTTTTCTTGTAGTGAATTATCTCGGTTATTTTATTAAGTTAAAATACTAAAAGATAATGAAAAATAAAAAAACATTGCTTCCTTATTTTTATAAAATAAATATATCATTCACATGGAAATAAAGATACGGTTAGTAAAATCCTTTATTCATTAGAAGAATTTTTATTTACGTTAATTGCATGTAATTTGGAAAAATAAATTACTTTTATAAGGTGCAGTAATTAAAATAACTTCAAAAAATAAAGCAATGAATATTTTAAAACAGAAAGATTATTATCTAATCTTTCAATCCTTCTTCGTGTGAACTCAATCTATTAGTGATTCACTCTTAGCTCGGTCAACAGGAAAAATATAGCCAATAAGTAAAGACAACAATTTACTTAATTTGTTACCCAAAAAAAAAAAAGACAACAATTAATCAGACATTAATCACAAAACGGTAGAGTTTGATATCTTTAATTGCTCTAACTAATCACTTGAAACACCAGTGGGTTATTTATCTCATTTGTTTCACTCACATAAATAGTGTCTCACTCACATAAATGGTGTCTTACTTATAACACAAGAAAAAGAAGATTAGGGTTATGAGATTAAAAGAAAAAACGAAAAGAAATGGTGTCCACCATGTTCAGTGAAATAGAATAGGAAGTTGCTTGATCCCTTTCTCCCTTTGTCTCGAATGCCATTCACTTAGGGTTGCAGGAAAAGAAGATCTGAAAAAGTTCCCCATTGTCTTTCTTCTTCACCAATGTCGTTGCATCATGGTGATGCTGTCGCGGTGGTCGAAAGGTAGATTTCGATTCTTGCAACCCCTCTGTTCTGCGAATCGAAGACGAAGCCAAAATCCTTGCCAATAAATCTCTCTTGCAAAAGGGTATGTTATATTATCTTCCTTATTTATCTTTTCTATTTTTTCTCTCGGTTATCTAATATTTGGGTTTTGTTTTTTGTTTCAAATTTTCAAGAAAAGGGAAGAATATCTTAACATTACAGAAGACTTGACAAAAACCAAAGATACACTCAATCATGTAAGCTAGTTATTTTTTCTCCCTTTTAATTTGTCTTGTTTTTATTTGGACTTTTGTCCTTTTCTTGAATTTTGGACACACATTTTAATCTTTTTTCATACTGTTTCATGTGCGGAAATTAAACAGGAAATAGATACTGCAAAGCATTTCTATGATCTGCTGAAGATCTTCAATTTAACGTTAAATGCAAGGAAAGAAGAGGTACCAGTGCAGTTATTCCCTCCATCCTAATAATAAATTCGCCTTTTTATTATATTTTATTATTCATGGCTTGTCTTGCTTATATTTTTTTTTGACCTGGGTTTTAATTTAATTGCTTTATTTCTTTGTTGGTGGTGACTCCAATCCTTTATTTTGATTTATCATAATTGCCATTTTTTACAGCAAAGTAATGGCCGTAAAAGAGAATACAAAAGTCCCAGTTTGCAATTGGTCCATGTCAATGCCTAGGTCATTGCTAAAAATCAACAACAGAAGCAAATGCAATTGCAAATGCCAATGTCATTCTCTTATGTTGCTGCACAGGGAAAGGTCAATAGTAACACGTGTCCACTTGCCATTTTTGATGTGAACCTCTCGCCTGAAGAGTTGATTAAGTGCATTCTTCTCAACCATTCAATGAGATTATGGCAAATGTAACATCTCCGTCTCGAGCCGGTTCAATTAACATACTTATGATACAGACAGAAACAACGGAAGACTTAACTTACGAAAATACAAGCTAACTTTTTCTTTTTCTTTAATCCTTTTTCACATGATATCTCACATTGCATACTTCTCCTAATTTACTTCTTATTTGACGGAGACGAAAATCGGGCAGAGTAACTATAATAACCCTAATTATGTAATTTTTAAAGGATCCTCAATGAACCTTGAGCTTACTGAAATGTGGTTATCTCACCCTGTTTGGGGACATTATTTCAGGTACCCAGGGTAGTGGTGATGCGTCTAGGGGCAAGGCCCCCGCTTTGGAGTAGTTGATGATGCAGCTGATGATTTTATGTTATGACTAAACTTGATGTTGGCATGTAGACTTGTTACCATGCTTAATTATTTTATAGAGATTATTGTATGTATTTATTTAGGGTCATGATTGTATCCTTAGAGCCATGGATAATTTACTGATGTTTTTATACTTTGAATTAATATAGACTTGATGCATGTATTCAGTTAATTTGGGTATGGAGCCTTATTGTTTGTATTGACCGCGACTTGCAAGCTATCTATTTAAATTAGAGTATCAATCAGGTTAAGTGTATGTGTGGGACCATGTCCCCAATTATCCGAAATACAGTCGTTATGCTGTCCATAAGACTCCGTTAGGAATGACACTTGATGTTATATCTGAAAGTTGGAAATGGCCTTGAAGGTCGATGCATGCTGGAGGGAAAAACAAAACTTTTTCATTGCGGAACACACATGCATTCAAGATCATGCTTTAGGAAAGCATGATGTTACCTTGTTCGTGAAAACTCGTGATGATCAAGGTAGGTCTGAAGGGTTCAGACCCTCTAACGTTGATCCACACCACCCACTGCGTCTAGGTGCAAGAACTCCTTCTTGTGAAACCGCCAAGTGATCACTACAATGAGGCTTGTTAAGCGCACACTGTGTGAAGAGAAAGGCTAGGTAAAAGTGTTTGAAAGAGTGAAGCTTTCTGTAAGAACCCGCACCGTTAATTAAGGTATTTAATTAATTAATTATGCAAAAATAGGAAATGATTTCATAATTGACCCTAATAATTATTAAGAGGCTTTAATAATTATGATAAGTGATTAAGAATGCTGGAAGTCGCTTTTCGGAAGAAAAGTGCAAATACCGGTTCTGCTAGTCGGTATAAATGCGTATCGAAAAAGTATCCCGGAAAATTATAATAAGTGCATGATAATTACTAGAATAATATGTAGGACTTGTAAAACGAGTTTCAAATCCAAATGATGAGAACTGGTGCTAGAAACCGGTACTGGCTTTCAAATCCAAATATGGGACTTGCAAGCTATCTGTTTAAATTAGAGTATCAATCAGGTTAAGTGTATGTGTGGGACCATGTCCCCAATTATCCGAAATACAGTCGTTATGCTGTCCATAAGACTCCGTTAGGAATGACACTTGATGTTATATCTGAGAGTTGGAAATGGCCTTGAAGGCCGATGCATGCTGGAGGGAAAAACAAAAATTTTTCATTGCGGAACACACATGCATTCAAGATCATGCTTTAGGAAAGCATGATGTTACCTTGTTCGTGAAAACTCGTGATGATCAAGGTAGGTCTGAAGGGTTCAGACCCTCTAACGTTGATCCCCACCACCCACTGCGTCTAGGTGCAAGAACTCCTTCTTGTGAAACCGCCAAGTGATCACTACAATGAGGCTTGTTAAGCGCACACTGTGTGAAGAGAAAGGCTAGGTAAAAGTGTTTGAA